TGATGAACAACGTTTCTTCGTTATTAATTTGATTTCATTTGATTTATGAAGATATCCAATCACAATTAGCGCACTGTGGTTAATTAAAAGAACTGGTGATAAAAAAATTGATTTTGATAAAGATGAAAAAGTGTGTAAGATTTTTAAATGAAGTGATAATAATTAACATTCCTTACGAGGATCGTAAAGGGGAGTGGATGATGTTAGCTGTAGACAGATGTCGGTTTAAGACACGAATCGAGAGAGTATCCCCAATGATTGATTTAGTGCTCAAGAAACATTTAAAACTTATATCGAGTAACATAAATGGAAATCCATGTATTCAGACCGGAAAACGATTACACCCGTAAACAAAATATTGTACAAGTCAGCATTAACACGCAATGTTTGCATTTCGGATGATGAAGGACAACCCATCAATTCCGGTCTAGCAAGATGAATACATTATGAATTGGATATGACGACCATCCTGTTCCGTTTCCGGAACGGGCTTTAGTATTCCGTTATTTGACTAGCAGTATTCACGGTGACAACATGTTTTCCTCTTGCTGTAAGTTATCGTTAGAAAATGGACGCTTCGTGGAGGTATACACGACGAAAGACAACGAATACAGAGAAGATCTACGCGAATGGGAATCGGATCGATATCCCACCAGCAAGGGAATAAGTTTAAAACCAGACATTTTTAACACATGGACAATGGCTTTAGACATGATTGATAACGCTTTGAACAAGAATGAAGAGTTAAATTACCACATGGGATCCAACATTTTTTGCACAATTAAAAAGGACAATCCATGTGTGGACATTCGTCAGTACTGGCAACCAGTAGGCCAAGAACCACTCGCTCCAACGAAAAAGGGACTTTGTCTAGGCCCGATCGAGTACAGAAAGTTGAAGTCTCATGTGACTGAAATAGGGAAAGCTATTCCTGAATTCGATTCACTCGTTCCATGTTTCATGCGCGATGATCATTTGAATCAATTAGGCCTGCTCCAGTGTCCTACCTGTAACCCGCTGGATTATACGAATTGGTGAAAAGAAACGGTGTAGGGAAAAAAAACTATTTTAAAGAACAATAATTAGCATGAATATTGTAATATAATTAAATATATTACTAGAATTATTTGTATGTTTTATCAGTATTGTTTCCCTTTCATTATGAATCGTTTTGCAGTAAAATCTTTGTCAATATGTCACATATTATATGTGCTTGTGCTGTAAAATGTAGTTTTATTCTTTTACACGTCAATAAATGAAATTGTTAAACATGATTCCTATTTGTTGTATCATCAGTGTTATTGTTAAACATGTTTCCGATTTGTTATATAATCGTATTACATCATCAGGATATGCTCATAAAAATTACAACTCGGAAAGGGTGTTTATCATTTTATGATTTAAACATGAGACTGACTAACGTGGTTTATCAGGGAGAAATTAACTGTGTACTAAATCTCAACTTCTTGACTCAACAGTTAATTAATGTACGTTACGACCCAAGGTCCTTTCCGGGTGTAATTTACCAAAATAGGAAAATCGGAGGAAACTGTTTAATATTTTCCAATGGGAAAATAAATTGTAATGGTCCTTGTGAAAGTTTCAGTCAAGGCCTAAAAAGACTGAGAAAGTATGCACGCGTCATACAGAAACTCGGATACGATGTAAGTTTGCAAAACGTACGACTAGTAACTGCGTCTGCTTGCCACAAATTATCTGGAAAAGTGGACGCAAGTTCCTTGTCTCGAAGTTTGAATTTTTCATACGACCCGGAGGTGTTTCCCGCAGTCATGTTACGACGAGAAGGTATTCATTTCACCTGTCATTTGCGAGGAACAGTTCTTATCACTGGCATCAAGAGATTGAAAGATTTAAACAACGTAGTATTTCCAACAATTTTAGAAATCGAGATGTGTTTATAAGAACAATTTCTTTTAATTTTTGATAGAGACATGTCGTACGAGAAATATTTAGAGGCCGTTTATTACAACCCAAAGCATCCAGGGTCATTTGGGGGTTGGAAAAATTATATCATGCCGTGCGAAAAGAGGGAAAATATGTTCCGAGTCGAACAAAAAATCAAGAACTGGTTACAAAAACAGGAAACGTTTACTCTACACAGACAGATTAATAGAAAATTCAAACGTGTGCGTGTAGTCGTTCCAGAGATTGGTTATCAGTGGGATGCTGACACGGCCGTACTGAACTCGTATCGCAAAGAAAACGATGGATTTGGTTACTTTCTTTTTGTCATTGATGTATTTTCGAAATATGCCTGGACAGTCACTTTAAAATCCACCAAAGGTAGCGAGATGTCACGTGCTTTAGCCTCTGTGTTGTCAAAAACTAACAAGCCTAAGAAAATACGAACCGACAAAGGTTCCGAATTCATGAACAGAGATGTTCAGAAGCTTCTTAAAGAAAATGGTGTGACTCATTTCTGTTCTCAAAATGAAAAGAAAGCAAACGTTGCCGAAAGAGGTATTAAAACTATAAAATCAAATTGAGTCGATACATGACTCAAAATCAGACTCATCGATGGATCGATGTCTTAGCTAATGTCACAAAGAGTTATAACGCCACCTATCACCGAACCATCAAAATGGCACCCAAGCAAGTGAAAAAGAACGACGAAGCATCTATATGGATGAGCATGTACGATCATGCTCCCAGAACTAAAGTAAAAAAATCAGAAATAAATATATCTGGACCTCTGCGTTTTCATTTTCATTTTAGAGTCGGTGATAAAGTTCGCATTTCTCATCTGAGATAACCATTTGATCGAGAATACGATGAGAGGTGGACAGGTGAATATTTCGTTGTCAAATCGCGCATGGTCAAACAGAGAATACCCCTTTATCAATTACAGGACATATATGGCGAAGACATAAAAGGGACGTTTTACGAAGGAGAATTACAGAAAGTTCTCATCGACAGAGACGCCGTGTATAGAATCGAGAAGGTGTTGCGATATAAAGGGAATCAGACTTTAGTCAAATGGTGGGGGTGGCCAAAAAAATTTAACAGCTACATAACCAGATCGTCATTGAAACATTATAAGAAGAGTTAAATATGTGGTATATAAAATATAATAATTAATGAATTGATTTTTACTTTAAAAAAAAAATAAAAGAATGGAGCAATCTAATATGATGCAGAATGCCGATTTTCTGAGAGTTCTCAGACAAGCTAACCGCAGTCAACAGCGCACTATGATTCCTAGAGCAAGCAATCGACAAATATTAGCTCTTTGCGATGTCGTGGCTCACTTGCTGCAAGGACATGTTCCGATCTTACCTCGCGATCGCTCTCATTTCCGGCGGTGGCGGCTTGTTATGAGACAATTGATCAGTCCGAGGATTTCAATTGCACGAAAAAAAAGACACACTACTCTCTCACTGCGAACTAATTCCAAGACTTTTGAGAAATTATATGGCGAGGATACTCGTAAGTATTCTGAGAGACAGAGAATTTTAAGTTATAAGAGAGCAGAGCCGCGATTCGCTTTAAACATGACTGTGTATTTATTTTTGGACGGGAAAGACTCGTCGAATTTTCATCCCTCTAATACTCCCGATGATTTTATCGTTACTCTGCCTAAGCAATACATATTGACCGGTTCTTGGGAGTGTGCGCTTTTAGAAGTGAAAATTCGTCTGTCCAAAGAAAATTTGATATCTCGAGTGTACGTATGCTGCGATATAGTTGAAGACAGTTATGTCCGAAATAATATGATACCGGTTCTGCGAGCTTGTGATGTAGCAAAGGACATTAAGGAGTCTTATAACCCTCCCTTCTACTTTGATATATCTAAACAAGACTTTCGCAACATCAGAGTTTTTATAAGAAACGAAAAGTTAAGACCTATTGCTACCAGTATTGAATCGTTTGCGTGTGTCTTGTGTTTGCGGAAAAAGAAACCATGGGCTCAGTAGAGGTGTACGACTATGATAAAATGCAATGGGTTCCTTACGTTCCCGATTTTAATAAATGGATAAAGCATTTTGAAGACATTTCCGCTGGTAGGGTTCGTCCGGATTATAAAGGGAGGTACATTGTGGGTAGCGGCTCGCAACACCGAAATGAAACTCCTTCCAGGGACCATCACCCCTCCGTGAAATTAGTGACCCCAGTAGCTCAGGCAATCGAAATGGCTAAATCGGAACTGGAACGTGAAAACGACAACTCCTCACCGAAAAACTATAAGAAAGCGACAAATGTATCGTCCACCGGGAAAACCTGCAAACTCTAAACCTAAAACCAAGAAGCCAAAGCTGAGCACGCAATTCGACGATTAATCATGAACGAAAACCATCTAAACCAACTCTCCATCTTTGAACCTCCACCGACGGACACGACCATACTTGCAAGAGAATGGGTAGAGTTTAGACCTATCAACCAAATTTCTGAGTATTCTGCTTTGGAATTCAACATTCCTCTTCTCTCCACCGGATACATGGACCTTCAGAACAGTCGCTTAAAAGTTAAGCTAGGAATACTAAGCCCGCTGAACACCCCCATCACTGAAAAAAAATGCCGTTGGTTTGACTAACTTACCTCTACACAGCATCTTTTCTCAAGTGGACACTAGTCTACAGCAGACTCCAGTGTCACAGCTGGGAACGAATTACCCCTACAAGGCCTACATCGATACCTTACTATCTACATCCTCCGAAAACTACGAAGTGCGTCAGTCTCAGCTCTACTTTAAAGACACCTCTGATCCCGACGATACGGACCCGATCTAAGGGATAAACATCGGTTTATTTCAAAGATATCAGTTTACCAAAGGTGGAAAAATTGTGGACTTGGAAGGTCCCTTACACGTTGATATTTTTCAACAAGATCGTTTGGTTTTGAACGGGGTCGCACTTTCCCTTAAACAATGGCCAAGTTAGGATTCATTTAGATTAAAGTCAGCTGAGGGTAAAGATTACAAAATACAAATTATCGATGCCAGTTTTAAACTCTGCATTCAGCGACCTAATCCCGCCCTTATCATGGCGCATGTGAAAATGTTGGAGAAGACCCCTGCCGTGTATCCCTACTTGTTTTCTAATTTAAAAATTGCTTACATCGCTAAAGGAGAATTCAGTTTGACCATAGACGACGTATTTCAAGGAGAAGTTCCGTCTACGCTCATTCTGGGAATGGTGTCCAGTAGCGCCTTTAACGGAGATTATAAGAAATCTCCTTATAACTTTCAACATTTCAATTGTAACTTTGTAGCTTTCTACGTTGACGGACAATCACTTCCCTCTAAACCTATACAACCGAATTACGACTCAGGTGCATACTTGGAAGCTTACCAAACCCTTCTTCAAGGTAGAGAGCACGTTAGTGTAGAGCGAGGGGAATATCCCATTGGAAATGCTTTATATGTCTTAAACATTAATCCCTACATCGACTTTAATACGAAGCGGAAAGGTCATTGTCGCTTAGAACTAAAATTCGCTTTACCCCTTCCCGAGAGTGTGACTTTTATATTATACGGAAAATTCCAACAGGTTCTCCACATTGATCAGTCTAGGAGCATTATATTCAAATGAACAACTACGAATAAAAACATTATTTATCATCATACGACGTTCAAGTCGTATGCGCCGACGACCTGCCTGCTGTTGCAAAAAAGCACCAATTTTGGATCGTGAATACGGACGAATGCGGGGGAAAAGGTTTACATTGGGTTGTTTTTCATTTTCCCTCAAAAGGATCAATAAAGTTCTTTGATTCCCTCGGAAATCCCCCGGAACATTATCATAGGAGATATCAAAGTATTTTAATATTCAATGGACCGAGATATAAATATATCGATTCCAGAATCCAGTCCGAGAAATCTTCATTGTGTGGACAATATTGTATCTATTTCATCTTACAAAGAATTAAAGGACGTTCTATGAATGACATTGTACATGACTTTAATGAATTAAATACGCATGCAAACGATCGTTTAGTGTCTAATTATATAAATGATATACCTAAATAAAAATATTCCGTTCTCATAATTACATTTTTATTGTTGTTATTATATATACAGCTTCTTTAAAAAATCAACTGCGGAAAAAATCTGGAATATCCATTGATCTGAACTAACCCCCCCCCCCCCCAGTACAATGTGACCCCTATAGTGATTTTCCACTTGCACAGCTGCTGCGCTGTGAGAGGAGATGGTTTCAAGGAACAGTTAACACGTGGATTTCTGTATAGAGAGGGCAATATGATCGAATGTTAACACAAGTCTTTAAATTTATAGAATTAAGTAATTTCAAATGCGCATTTTTTTTTTCATATTTCCTTTTAATTATTAAGATTTAAATCCTTTTGTTGTGATAACATAATTCATTCGATGAAGGCTAAAACTTGACATCACACAAGTACAGGGATTCAAAGATAAAAATTATGTTTCCCTCTAACTTTTCGTAAAGAAATTCGTTGTTCTCTTGTCATCACAATAAAATACCACCACTTAGATTTATTATCTTTCTTCATTTAATCTTCTTAAAAAAGGAATAACTTTCTCCAGCTTTTATCAATAAATACCCTAGACTAACTTTAAAAATAATGTTTGATTACCCTTTTTCGTCTCAGGATGAAGAAAATGAATCAGTGGGTAGTTATGGAATTCCATAGGTAGTTGAGAAAAAAAAATTCAATGTTAACTTAAAAAAAAAAAATTCTGAGTCATTTTCAGTCAGCTGGTCGGGAGAGGGTAATCAGACGATTTTTTAAAGATCGCCTACTCAAACTATATTTCTTTCCTTCTATTCCTGTGCATTGCGTAAGAGTATTCAAAGGTATGATAATACTCAGTATTTTTTTTTTCATATTTATATCACTTTTGGTCTCCAAAGTGTTATTATTCAATTTCTATTTATAGTGTTTTAATCAAATTGAAAGAAACAAACAACAAAATTTTTTTTTTCTTATATATACATTACTTTATCTTTTCATATTTCAAGAAAATAAAAGAAAAATAATCCACATGAAAATATGTACACTCCTGTTCTTTTTAAAGTAACTATATACAATGTCATTAAGAAAAAACAATCCACAAGAAAATATGCAAACCCCTGTTCGTTTAAAGTAATAACTATGTACAATGTCTTTGTGTCTCTCTAGTTTGCATATTTAGAAACCATATCTCATCGGAGCTCTCCTCACTCGTAGTGAGCGACGAACTGGTGTGGCTCGAATGTGGCGTACTGGCGGCGCGTAGTTCCGAGGTTGTCTATTTCTAGTTAACGCCGAACACTTCAAAGTCACATAAAGCACTATAACAAAAAAAAATAAGATTACTGTTAATCTAATTTCACTAGGTGAAATTCACTAGAAAATTCTCTAGAGAATTCTGTCTCTGATATATCGTCCATGCGATTAGTGATCCCTCTTCGTTTCACGCATTTCCGAATAATGAAAATAGTGCACACACACAAGCCGAAGCAAATCACTATCACTGACGAAATACCAGCGGCAATAATCCAAGGAGCGTCTGAAATACGTAACGCCAATACTTAAAATTTAATTCTATATTTGGTAAAATTTTTATTTCTTTACTTTCATTCTTATAAATCTTAATATAAAGAATTCATTTTTTAATTGTATAGGTTTAAAAAAGTTAACTTACTAAAACTAACGGCCATTGTCTCCAACGCCAGGGTTGTTGTGTTTGCCATCTGACTCACTGTAATCGTCTCTGACAATTCCGACCTCTGTAAGCAGGGCAAAAGACAAAAAAAAATCTTAAATAATCTAAATTTGTTGCATTTGAAGAAGAAGAAAAAAAATTAAAAAAAAATCAAGATAAATATAATTGTTTAATTTATGCAATATTGTTAAAGTTACTTCGCAAACTTTGTCCGCTGACTGTTGTTTTGGAGTTGGCGTGGAAGTGGCGACAGTCTACTTCTAAATAGAGGACCTGGACCTTGGCTATGTCGCTGGATGTGAAGTCAATAGGTCTCCCTTCAAAACTCTGCGGATGATCACTACATCCCCTGACTTCATGGCATTCATCGCATCTTTTACATCATTGCATCTCAAGAGTTCTTCCTTTCGCTCACACCCTGTCGTTAACCCAATGCAAAACGTCAAACAAATCCACCCGTACATCTTAATGATCTTTCTCCAAGTATTTCTGAGACAGTGATATTGTTGCTCCGTGGGATGCGCGGAATTCTGGGTAAACACACTGACCTCGCAATCAGTCAAGCGTAAGCGGGCAGCTGGGACATCAAAGACCCGGCGAGGGGATTGCATAATCTACACTGGTCATACTAGAGACTTGTGTATAGCAGGTGGCCAGCCGAAGACATGAGGCGAGCAAGAGAACAAATTACATAATCTGCATCCAACTGAAGACCTTAGATCTTCAGAAAGTGTACAGTTGTACAAAATTAAAAAATATTTATTTATTTATAGTATAAAATTCAAAGTGTTGTGATATGAAATAAAATCTGTTTTTAGCAGTCAAGAAACGAAATTTGTCATTATCATAGTGTTTTTGTTTTTTTTGTTTGGTTTTTTTTTACACTTAAAAATTCAAAGTGTTGTGATTAATTCTTGTGTCAGTAGTAAGGTGATTCCAAGTTTATGTATGATCAAACAAGAGTAAAATAAACATATTAGACAGCTCCAATGGTTAATGAGAAGAAAAAAAAATTATATGTATACATGTATATTAATATAGTGTAATGAATTTACTTTTAAATTAAAGGTAGAATAAACCCTACCCCCCCCCCCCCCTTCCATTCGTTGTTTTAATGAAATTTAAATTGAAGCAGGGTCTGAAAGAGAAAAAAAAATGATAAAATTTTAAAAGGGAAAATCTATGCCACACTACTGTACACCAATTAACAATCATAATAATTTACCAGGTGTTGTTCTGCTCCTGCAGAGAGGACATCCACGGGACTTCTTCGAACGCTGGAAACACGCCATGCAACAAGCTATCTTCTTGCATGTATAGCATATATAGCTTATACATTTCTCTTCGCAGCAGAGTCTACATTCAAAATACGTAAGTGGAAAGCGGGCGTACATGCAACCCCACCTCACCTCTCCGGTCTGTTCATTTTTTCTACTGCTCATGATTTTTTTTGGGGGGGGGGGGGGGGTCGTAAGAGAGTGAGGTTCTGTACTGGTCGAGTTTTAATACAGGGCTTTTTATAAGAAATCTGTTTAGTTTGTTATTACTCTGATTTACTCAAATGCCACACGGGTGGTCAGTTTGAGAAGGTGTAATAACATCCTTTCCAACAATTCCATTGTAACAAATTAAGTGATAGTTTTGAGTTTATTACAAAAAGAACTTAATAGATTTATCTGTGTAAATAATGTCTGTTGGTTAATTAACGTGTTTTCTTTTTCATTCACTGACACTACATGTATCGTCTACTGGAACAACACATCAATAGAGTTAATCCGCATTTATTATTTTTTTTTAATCCCATATCTCACCTTATTTGGTTTAAATCTCATTCATTAATTACCAAACTAAACTATCATTTTATTTCTATTTCTCTTCAATGCATTTAATCAAATTGAAAGAAACAAACGATTTTATTCAAGTATACATCACTTTATTTTTTTTTAATCATTATAATACAAAAACATTTTTTTTGTCGAAATTCCCGTCGGTGCACAATAAGAAGCTCACTTTATCTTTTCATATTTCAAGAAAATTTAAAAAAAACAATCCACATGAAAATATGTACACTTTATCTCGTTTAAAGTAATAACTAGATACAGTGTCTTTGTGTCTCTCTAGTTTGCATGGTTAGTACCCATATCTCGTCACTCGTTGTAAGCGCCGAACTGGTGTGGCTACTATAGTCGAATGTGTCTGTAATTACATGTGCTGCACTTCTTGCGCAGCACCCTTCTTCCTTTTAGCTCCCTCTCCAGGGACGCCATTTTTTCTTCGAGCGACGCCAAGCGTCGCTCAACGTCCGTTTCCTGCTCCATGGTCTGAAATGATAAATTTGAGAGTTAACCAAAAAATATAAAATATTAATAATTATAATATTAATAGAATTTTTTTTTTTTCAATTCATGTTATAATTTAAGTGTCATGTTATGGTAAATATCTAATATCCAGGGGAAATGAAATGAGGATCCGGGACGAATCCCTCGGAAGCTTACACATTTTTACAAATAAGAAATGTTTTTTCCTTGTTTGTTTGTTTGTTGTTTTTTTTTTTAATAATGAACATATATAAATTTTATATACACAAAATTCAAACGGGGGGCACGTTCGGTGCGCCAACCCTGGATCCGTCATTGTTTACTTTCGGATAACATGACGAATTCAGTCATAACCCGGACAAAGATTACATGTAAAATAATGTAATGAATGTGTATGACTAATGATGTACTATAGAGGAAAATGTACTCATAGTGTGATTAGGTGTTCAACGTCATTTGAAAGAACGACTGTGAATTATGCAGACATTTTGTGCTATATGTAACAAGTCGTTTTGTAACAGCTCTTCTTTCAAGCGACATTATAAAAATGTACACGAAAAAACAAATAGTTTTCGTTGCGATATTTGTGAAAAGGTACTAAATCGCAAAGACAATTATGATCGACATGTTAGAGTGTGCAAAGCAGAATTTAAATGCTTTTACTGCGACTATACTTTTAAGTTTTCATCGCATCGCACATTACATGTCCACAAGGAGCATAAGGATAAATTATTTAAGTGTGATAACTGCTGCACTGAATTCTCGGACGAGAGAAAGTATCAAAGACACCAGCAGACATGCAAGGTATAGTACCACATTTTGAAAAAAAGTTGTTAATGAAAATATAAGATATATGTACCGTATCTGCAGGACTTTTGGGGGACGCTGCAGGTGTTGGGGTCGCGCATGCACCATCCCCAGCCTCCGATGAGAAGTTAATTCGTCTCCTCACCTACAAAAAAAAAAAAATACATATTTACATTTTTATTAAGTTAATTTTCATGAATGTGTTTGTCATTCATTAACATTCGTTGTTTAATCGATAGTTTATATATTACATTTCTTTGTTGATCGTAGAAGCACGAAATATATTTACAATTTAAAAATATAGAAAATTAGAAAAATCAAAATGATAAAAACATACCTGACGAAATCTAGGCCCTCTAGGGGTTGAGTCAATTACAATGACCCGGGAATTTAACCACACATCATTGGTCTGAATGAGGATACATGTACATGAGAATGAGTTATTGTCCCTTAGCATCTATTTTTTTTTAGCTTTCATGACTCAGAAAAACTTAACCTTTTTTTTTTTTTTTTTTTTTTTTGCATTACATCTGCTGTAAAGAATTCTTCTAAAAGATAGTTTTTCGCTTCATTTGATATAAGATATCGCAGGAAGATGAAAATAATCTTTGAAAATTAAAAAAAATCTTTCTACGCAATTTATAAAATTTGTTTAAATACAATACTTACACTTCCACCTTTTCTTCCAGCCATTTTATTTTTTTTTTCTCTCGATATTGATGAATATACTATAGGTACAAGTTAGGAAGTGAAAAAATACATTGAGCGCAGGCTTATTTATATGCTTTAATAGACCAAAAAAAAAAAATCCCTTTTTACTCTTTACATATAAAACAAATACAGTATGTGTAATTAATCCGTCTGGAAAAGCAGTACACGTGTACGTCTATATTCCTTCTTTACACATCATCATCCGGGATTTTTTAAAGATTATTCAAGTTACTTCCCTTCAACACGGGAAACGAACACTTAAAATATCGATTAGTAGAATGACCCAGACATCTTAATTAATATCCCGAGTTTGTCTCTTTTAGTGATCAGCATTCAAAACTTTATAATGATTTATAATTACGAAAAAAAAATGCTGTTTAAAATAAAAAATAATAATAAAGGATAGATCTTATCTCTCTTTCTAATTCTCTCTCTATTTATTTAGAACAATTTTCCAACAACATCCACGACGTCAATGCAACGAAACAAAAGCAACAGATCTGTGGTAATTTATGACATTTATTTTCTTGAATCTTTTTATATCAAAAATTCATAGTTTTTTTAATATATATTATTAACTGGTCTTTTTTAATTAAAGCAGAACAACGATGCATCAACACCATCAACATCAGCACAAGACAACAGCTTTGAGGTATTTTTTTTTATATCTATTATATCTATATAAATTTGCAGTGAGGCAACAATCTATTAAAATTTGTATTCATGATTCGTTCATCACATGAACTTGATTTTTTTTTTTTATTTAGAACAATGAACAAAGATCATCAAATTCATCAACACAACAAAAACAAGACCACGCACCGAAGGTAAAATAAAAAAAAATCTAACAGACATTTTACGAAATTGGTCAATCGTATACTAGTATTTTGTTACAATCTTTCTAATGAAGTTTAATTCTTTTTTAATTCTCATTTAGGATGCTTCTTTTGGCTATACGTGTCGGACATGTCATCAAAGATTTAATTGTCGACGAACATTGTACGTTCATCAGATGAATGACCATGTTCAAATAGGAGCAGGTCTGTTACAACCCAGACCCTGGGGGAATGGGTCTCCGCCATGGGGGGAAGGCGACAGAATCGATGAATAATTAAAAGAAGTATATGAGACGAATGCTCCTTTTATCTTGAGAAGACACCAGGAGGGAAATGTTTATAGTTTCTTATTGATAATCATTTCACCGTTTCCGAAATTATGCAAGCAGGAAACGAAATTTATGATCGTCAAGAAAAAGCCTTCCGTTTAAATTTAGAATTTGGTTTAATATTGAAAAACACAGAAACAGGTGAATATCGATACTTTAAGCCTTATCACAACCAAGAGGTATTTCAACGACCCATTTACGTTTTGAGACGAATTCATTTGAAACGTTTACAATATCGCATGCAGCAATTAAACATCACTGATTATATTTTGCGTCAGCGTCCCGATACAAAGTGGAAACCATTTCTGATCACAAATGTCCACATCGTCATCTATCATTTAAATTTCGTTTTGGGTAACGGTAGAGTTACTGTGCCCGAATACATCAGGCAATCGAAATCCATCATTTCCATGACAGCGGATTGGAAAGGTCGTGTATATAAAGACAACCTTTGTGCTTTCCGGTGTTTAGCATATCACCAGAATAAAGATTGGTCTTTGTTGGAGAGTCAAACCCAAGAGCTATTTAAAAAAAGGGTCTCCTTTAACGAAATGCAAAACAAAGAAATAAATTCAAACTCAAATACATTTCCTGGTATTACATTAGATCAACTAGTCTACTTTGAGAAATTTTTTGAAATTAACGTTAATGTGTTTTCTTTGGAGGAAGATCAGACTGCTCGTGTCGTATACAAATCACACTGTAAATATTCAAATGACATGTACTTAAATTTCCTCGAACATCATTTATCACACATTGCAAAATTCGATGCGTACGCCAAAAAATTTCAATGCAAAACATGTCATTTTGGGTATTTAAAAAACATGAAAAGACACCAACGAGCATGCACAGGGAGAACAAAGAGACAATTCCCGGGTGGTTTTTATTCTCCTCCAAACACTATTTTTGATAAGTTAGAACAATACGGTATCACTGTCAATTCCAGTGATCGTTTGTATGAATGGTTTTTAGTCTACGACTTTGAATCCATGCTGATACCTATAAATGGTCAAGACAGTGCTAATCTTGAATACACAGAGCAACACATCCCCATATCCGTCAGCGTGTGTTCAAATGTTAATGATCACACAGAACCGCGATGTATCGTTGAGACAAATATCGATACCCTTATCGAAAAATGGTAGAGTACATGTCATTAATTGGTCAAAAAGCAGCGGAATTGACGAAACAAAAATTTTCAGATGTGTTTGATGCCCTCGATAGTTCCGTACTCGATGGTGTAAACGGCGATGACTTGATTGAGTACCTTGGGGACGATTGGGAAATTCAAAAGATGATAGATGAAGAAGAAAAGCAATCGAAAAAATTGAAAGAGGAATTCGAAAATTACTGTGAACAGATAATCAGCATTGGGTTCAATTCGGCTAAATACGACGTTAATTTAGTTAAGAGTTACCTAGTTAAACACCTTCGACTCGATGAAAACGCCGTTTTCACCGTCAAGCGGAATAACTCTTACTCGTGCATAGGTACCAGTAAATTTAAATTCTTAGATATTTCTCAATACCTGAGTCCTGGTATTAATTATTCGGGATTTTTGAAAGCGTTCGATGTTCAAGAATCCAAGGGTTTTTTCCCGTACCAATTTCTTGACGGTGTAGACAAACTCGATTATGATCGACTGCCGCCTCACGAGGCTTTTTATTCAAGTCTCACAAATGCCAACATTACCGACGAAGAATATGTCTTCTGCCAAAGAGTGTGGGACGAGAAGAAAATGACAACGTTTCGCGATTTCCTCGTCTGGTATAACAATCTTTACGTCGAACCGTTCGTACAAGCGGTGAAGAATTTGCAGAAATATTATTTCGAGCGCGGCATTGATATATTTAAATGTAGTATATCGGTACCGGGTCTTGCGCGTCGAATGTTGTTTGAAAGTGGTACGAAAGAGGGGGCCAGTTTTGCTTTGATCGATCGTGAAAATGAAGATCTGTACGACACGATCAAACAAAACATTATTGGAGGACCGAGCATTATTTTCAAACGCTACCACGAAACAAAAAGGTCATTCATTCGTGGTAATCCGCAAAAGCCATGCGGTCGAATTATCGGCTTTGACGCCAATGCATTATATCTATACTGCATAGGAAAAGAGATGCCCGTCGGTGCTTTTGTGCGCCGCCACCTAGATGATAATTTTAAACTCAGAAAGCGAGATAAATATACCATTGCATATGATTGGTTAGATTGGTTGACCCACTGTGGGAAATATAAAGACATCAAACACAAGTTGAATTCAGGTAAAGAAAAAAAATTGGTCGCTTCCCAGTGGACGGATACGACGAGGAGACTAACATGGTGCTTCAGTTTCATGGATGTTACTGGCACGGGCATCGTTGTTGGTTGACCCGACATGTCAAAAACGACAAACTCTTGGAAATGAGACAAAATAAAACCAAACTTGCAACGAGTTACCTCAGAAAACAAGGTTACAAGGTCGTTGAAATGCACGAGTGTACTTTCCGCAACAATATTGGAACAAATCTTGCATTGAAAAAATTCGTAAACTCGAGAAAGCAACCTACAGGTCAAGGTCCCATGACACATGAAGATGTCATTAGAGGAGTTATGAGCGGCAAGTTATTTGGCATGGTAGAATGCGACATTCGGGTTCCAGAAACTTGGCCTGCCCAGTTTAATCATCCGACAATGACTCCTTTCGAGTATTTTTCGGGGATGAGTCCTCTCTTTTGTACCACGGATATTCCTTTCGATGTCATAGGCTCGCACATGCAAAACCACGCAAAACGGTTTAATCTGAGCACGAAACCTCGCCGCCTTCTGGTAGGAGGCATGCGCGCGCGTCAGTTATTAATTGCTACGCCTTTACTGCGCTGGTATATAGAGCACGGTCTGGAGATTACCAAAATCTACCAGACCGTTGAATACACTCCCCAGAAATGTTTTAATAATTTTGTTCGCGACGTAAGCGATGCTCGGCGTCCAGGTGACGTAGATCCGACGAAATCAATAATCGCGGATACGCGTAAACTAGAAGGAAATAGTGCATTCGGATCAACGATCATGGATCAAGAAAAATTTCAAACCGTCAAGTACATACGCGGTGAAGGAAAGGCTATGATGGAGGCAAACGAACCCACTTTTAAGAAATAATCTACACTTTTCGTCGAGGAAGAGCTTTTCGAAATTGAAAAAAATAAGAACAACTTAAAATTGAATTTACCAATTCAAATCGGTTACTTCATCTTGCAGTATGCAAAGCTGCACATGTTACAATTCTATTATGATTTCATGGATAGATTTGTTGACCGTGCTTTGAATACTGCGAGATGGACACCGACTCTGCCTACATGGCCATTTCGGGTTCAACGTTTGAGTCTGTCATTAAACCCGATATGCGACAGACTTCCGATCACAGTCTAAAAGGTTACTGTATTCCCGGTCTAGATATCGAGGCTGATTGTGATAGACACTGGTTTCCTCGCACTTGCTGTGAGGAACACGCCAAGTACGATCGCCGGACGCATGGTCTCTTCAAAATTGAGTTTCAAGGTGATGAAATAATTGGACTGTGTTCAAGGACTTACATCGTCTCAGTGCGAAAGCGCAAGACACAATCCAACACATTAATAACGGCACAGCGCTTGCTTAAAAGATCAAAGAATTGTAGATTGAGAAAATCACACCACATAAAACATCGTTTGGTGACCCAACTTAAATTTTCTTGTAAAGGTGTCTCAAAGAGAAGACTCAAAGCCCCTCTTACTACATTTCGAAATGTATTAAAAACTCAGAAAACGCAGCATGGTGTAAATATGGGATTCAAGCTTCGAAATAACAGTATATGTACTTATCGACAAGTGAGAAATGGCTTCACTTATTTTTACTGACTGTAAACGAAAGGTTTTGGGTGACGGTATTAGTACCGAGCCTCTAGATTTGGAATTATGTCCTGTAAAAAGCAAAAAGGAATATGAAACTGAAATAGATGACTTCGATCTCGAACTAGTACATATGCTCGCGGAAAGCGAGTAATTGATATTATTTGATGTATGACAATGTTGTTCGAAGAGATTGTGTGTATTTTCTTTTTTTATTTGTAAAGTTTGTGTTGCACTGGAGAGGGGGGGGGGGGGAATCCATAACGTCACATAGTTTCATCTCTTGGATGTGATAAGGAAATATTTTATAATATAGTTTCTCTTCTTCTGTAAAATTTTGTAACATTATTTATGTACATTGAATAGGTAAAAAAGTTGGCTTAAATGTGGTGAAAAAAATTATTGCTCTAATTCATCGTTTATTTTGAAGTATCCGTATTCAATATATACATCTACATGTACATTACGTAATTATTTTATCATTATTATTTCGCATGTATTTATACCGTTAATGAATTTAAACTCAAGATTCCTTTAACGTATATATATTTTTTGTTTGTCTAACTATTTATAAACACATACACTTGTATAAACAATAAAGATGTTGGTATAATTCACGTGTCATTCATCCCAAGACAAGGTCATAAGAAGGGTTCAGTATCTATATGTTCAAAAGCATTTTATTTAACATGGAGAGAACTACCGGTTCGTCAACAGAATCATGGTGTTTAATGGGAAATAAAATCCCCAAATCTGAAATTGTCTACTTTTGTCAAATGATCGTGGTGTATATCATCATCATTACCTCAATTGTTAACTTATCTCTAAAGAACGGTTCCTCTGAACTATGGATTTCCTTACTTAGCAGTGCAATAGGTTACATATTACTGTAACGTGTTTGTGTCCGTGAATCTGGGTAGATCCTTAATCAAGACAATTAATTAAACAAATGATTAGAAATGATAAGTGACAAAGGATGTGAAAAATAAACAAGCCAATATATACAGATATAAATAATATTAGGATTTCCTATCCTTAACATAAAGCATACAACTATCTGTAAACAATTATTGGTATGGGTCTCGCACAGGTCTGTATCCTGTATGTATCAGTACCAGGACAGGTACGGGTCTCAAATCCGGGATAGGTCCTGTACTCAGACAGGTCTGTGTCCTGCATGTATCAGTACCAGGACAGGTACGGATCTTCGAGGTCTCTTTCCTGTACACAGACAGATGTTAATAAAATTCGAGGAAAAGTAATTACAAAGAAACTGGGGGGATAAGCCGAGCCATATGCCTACATAACGATCGATAAAAAATCAATAAATTCATTTTACAAAATTTTCACTTTTTGTTGAATTAATGTAATGCTTATTACCATTTGCATATAAATTTGACAAAACCTGAATACTGTAACAGCGAAAATGATTCTGATTAACACAACAAAATGGCATCACGCTCAATTTTCACAGAAACTGACATAAATTGGATGATATAACTACATTTTTTAAATAGAGTGGGTCATCGTACCATTTTTTTGAGAACGATTAATGAAAGGCAATGGAAAGATGTTGCTTTTTACACTTGCAAAAATTTGGTATGAAGACCCACTCTACATAAAAAATTAAGTTAACTTGCTTAAATTTTCACCGTGGTCTTAAAAAATTCTAAGTCCAAAAACGCTTGCTAAATATAGAGAACTGTATGCTATTTAAATGGAAATGTTAGTGTGACTCCGTGGTCTAGTGGTTACCGATGAGCTCTTTAAAGGGACGTTTACTGAGGAAAGTGTTCGAGTCATGCTCTGATTTTTTTTTTATATTTTATTTTTTTTTGGTTTAAATTTTGTTTTACTTTATAAAAAATGTCTATAGGAATAACATATTTTTCACTGGAAATAAAATATATACATGTAATAATGAACTTATTTACAGTAAATTATTTAAAATGCCGGATAAAATTATAATAGATATTTGAATACTTCTATTCCCGTTTTATTTATTTTAAATAAAAGCGCTTCTAGATCACCATTATCATTATATACGATGTTAACATTTTTATAATATCTCCACAATAAGTGTAAACACTCAATATGCAGATTAATTAATAGAAGTCCTTACCCATGTTAGACATTTGTGACAGTAAATGAAAGTCAACTGTTTAGCTTGTTTAGAATATAAATATCATTTTGAAAACATTAAAATGCTTAAGTAAATTCGAACAATTGAGAGATTTTTTCCAATAAATGTTCTTGCATAGCCGAAAAATGGGCATGGGCACATGGCTCGTCTTATCCCCCCAGATTCTTTATTAACCTGAATAATGTAAATCCAGTATACTAGACACCGTATACTGTATTAATTACAAGCCTTATTAACTCCGCCGTACCTCACTATTGTGCCTTCAACGACCGTCAACACTGAGCTCCGACTGGCAACTGCCAGCTTTCTGCAGAGCGCTCATATTTATACCCATGTATACCCGGACTACCCTTGGCCGCTATCGTATCACATTACGATAAAGTCCAGCTGACGTAATGCATAAAGACATCCCGAGCCCGATCTCTGTCACATTACCCACGCCTCTATTCCTCATGCGCCCTCGCATGACAAAAACAGTTATGAATTGATGTTAAATGATTTAATGAAGAAAACATGATCTATATGCACAATATGACAGCAATGATAATCATCATCTTAAAAAGACTATCTGTCATCAGTTTTGCAAGAAACAGCAGAATTCACATATTTACATATTATAAAACTCTTCTCTCTCAACAATGTTCTCTACACTTCGTCCGTTTTCGTGAAACTTGGTTACGGTAACTTCTTTCACCCCCGCTGTCTTGGTCTCTTGATCTACTTTACTTTCTGTAAAGGAATAGGTCTGCGTTCCCACATCCACACTCTTCTGAGCTAGATCAAGTTCAGGTCTGCACACCACTTTCCTTGTAGTAGGGACTGGGCTAGGTGCAGTTCCGTTTCCTGAACATGCGTCCTGTCAGCAAGCTAGCGGTATTACTCGGTGGTTCAGGATCCTTTTCCTTTGGAGCTTCTCCAGCTGTACCCCTGGATCTTCATCCCAGTCACTTTCACTGTCACTGTTATTTTTTAATGGACTACTAGGACCCGCCTCATCCTTCTCCGACACTTTCGACGCTTCGTCACTTTCCGCATGTTTCAACTTCATGTGTTTCACCAAATATTCCTTCTTCTTAAAGGATACATGACATTTCTCGCATACCAGCATGCTGCTAGCACACTTTAACACGTGAGTCGTCCAGGCATCTTTTCCGTCCACTTCAGTAAAACACACCGGGCATATCTCTTTAGATTTTGTCGGAGTCACCTTAGTATTAACCATGATTACACTGCAAAGACACATGACAATAAATTAAGGGTAATGATATTAATAATGTTTTTTTTTAAGCAAAAAGAAAAACAACTAAAATAAAAGCAAGATTGTAGGTCCTATCTAAGCAAATTCATGCACAGTTATGTAAGCTAAATTCATGATTGATTGAAAACATAAGGTCATGTCCTAATCCTGAACATAATCTTTAAGCCAAGTAGGGGTACGCCTTTCGCGTCTTGGTCTCCTATCACCAGCTAATTCATCTGTGACTTCAATATTTTTGTTAGATGACCCAAAGTCATCATCCTGATTCTCAAGATCTATTTCAACATTTGAAGAATCACTTGTCTCCAGCTCCGTACTTTCGTGCCCTAGGTCTGGATCCTCGCCTCTGAGCACTTGAGATTTACATGCTTTTATTCTGTCGCAATTAACCACCTGTCCGTTTCCATTGCGTCCACAGTTGAGCTTATACAGGACCTCAGAGACTTTTGCAAGAACCTGAAATGGCCATCTCCAATATGAAGTCAACTTTGGTGAGCAACCAGTTTTCCTTTGGGGAAAATACACATATACGTGGTCCCAACTTTGAATTGTTCATAGGACATCTTCATGTCGTGATAATGTTTCTGTCGAAGAATGGCTCCTTCTAAATGTTTCCTCACCAAATTGTGAGCCCTTTCCATCCGATCAGTAAGTATCCAGACCCAATCATGTTTCGGTACCTGTTTCCAGGATGCAGGCATATTATATATGATGTCCAGAGGGGTAGCAGTTTCTCTATCAAGCATCAACATGTTTGGGGAGTATCCAGTTGATTCATGCTGTGATGCCCTATATGCCATCATTACAAAGGGTATGTTCTCATCCCAATCCCGATGGTTCTCGCTAACATAACTACTCAACATGGTGGCTAACGTCTTATTGAACCGTTCCACCATACCATCAGACTGAGGATGGTGTGGTGTGGTTCTTGTCTTTCGGATCTGTAAATGCTTGCATACTTCACTAAACAAAAGACTTTCATACTGACGGCCTTGGTCAGAGTGAATGGACACAGGAACTCCAAACCTAGAGATTACCTCTTCCACGATCCGTCTCGCAACTGTCTGAGCCTCCATGTTGGGCATCGGAAAGGCTTCTGTCCATTTGCTAAAGTAATCCGAAACCACCAGGATGTAGCGATTCCCTTTATCTGTGACCGGAAATTCCCCAAGGATATCGGTTGCTATCCTCTCCATTGGGTAACCCACTTGCAAAGGCTGCATAGGTCCTCTCTTTGTTTTAAGTGGAGCCTTCCTCCGGGCACATATGTCACATCCAGCAACATAACTTCTGACATCGCTTTGCAGCCCTGGTCAGTAGTAATTTTGTCTCTGATCTTGTTCAGGGTTTTGGTCACCCCTAGATGACCAGATGTCTTGGAGTCATGCATCTGCCGTAAGATAAATCTTCTCTGTGACAGTGGCATAACAATCTGATATGTCGTGTTGTTGCTTTCCTCAAGCTCCCACATACGACACAGCAAGTTATCCTTCAAGGCCAATCTACTCCACTGAGCCCACAGTGATTTTACCATATAACTTTCAGCAGTAATTTCACTGTACTCTGGACGCTTCCCTTCCTCCATCCAATTCTTAACGAGTCTTATATCCCGACTTCTGTCCTGTATCTCTACCAAGTCCTTTGATTCATCTGTCTCGGTGTCTTTGACCTCATCCTGTAATACCCTTGCATGTTCCTCATGCAAAACTACCAATCATCAAAATATCCACACTGGACGCATGGGAGTCTACTTAGCCCGTCAGCATTTCCATGCAGCCTACCAGCTCTATGCTCTATTTCTATATCATACGCCGATATCACCTCTAGCCATCGAGCTAACTGGCCCTCTGGATCCTTAAACCTTAGCAACCATCGAAGGGAACTGTGATCTGTTCTAACCACAAATTTACGCCCATACAAGAAATGTCTAAAGTGATTTATAAATGTCACTACTGCCAAGAGCTCCTTCCTGGTCACACAGTACCTTCTCTCAGACTTACTAAGAACTTTGCTGGCATAGGCGACTACCCTTTCCTGTCCATTCTGGATCTGAGACAAGGCTGCGCCGATCACATTTTGACTTGCATCGGTATCCAAGATAAATGGTTTACCGAAATCTGGATGAGTAAGGATTGGTGCAGTGGTTATCTTAGTTTTTAGAACATCAAATGCTATTTGACATTCTTCTGACCATTTGAAGACAACTGATGCTTCTGTCAGTTTATGAAGCGGTCGAGCTATATCAGCAAAGTTTGCAATGAATTTCCTGTAATAACTACAGAGGCCAAGGAAGGACCGAACTTGCGTCTTGTTTACTGGCTCTGGCCATTGTCTCACAGCTTCAACTTTCTCCGGATCTGTCTCGACCCCGTCTTCAGTTATAACATGACCCAAGTATTTGACTTGTTTCGCAAACAACGTACATTTCCTGGCCTTCAGCTTCAACACAGTACATAAAAAGTGCAATCACAAATCAAAAGCTTATTTTAGGTCTTAAAAAGTCTGAAACAAGAAGGGTGAAGTTTGAGAGTTCAGAGAGTGAGGGTGAGGAAGATGAAGAGAAAGTTAACAACGTTAGGGCTATTTACAACACAAAACAAACATCAACACCATACACAGAACAAACAAAAGTGTCAAGACTAGAATCAAGGGTCAAAAGATTAGAAGATGACACATGAGAAATAAAAACAAACATTCAAGATATCCTAAAAATTTTAAAATCCTCTAGTCAGAAAAACAATTACAGATCAAACAGTAGAGAGAGTGCAAGAGTTAGATCTCCTTCGAGTAGCCCAAGCAGACAAACTTGTTTTAAGTATAATCAAGAAGGTCACTATGCCAGAGACTGTCCTAATCGTAGGAATAGGTCACCATCACCCCAGTCTAAACCTTTAAACTTCAACAGGTTGGAGATGTAGGCCATTCTCCAACCTTTTCAGATACATCAGACAGGCCTCGTCCTAAAGTAAAATTTAAAATACAAGAAATTGAACTTTACAAAGATGATAAATTGAAAAAACACTTTTATGTCCCTTGTACTGTAAACAACAAAACAATTGATGCTGTGATAGATACTGCAGCACAAGTCACTGTTATGAATTATAAACTTTTTGAAACCCTCAAACCCAAACCAACACTGAATAGAGAAATAACTTTAAAAGGGGCAGGTAAACATAATATCATCAAAGCCAAAATAGCAGAAAAGGTTAATGTCATGTTATGCTCGTCTATGCTGTGTTCGATATTTCCAATTTTATCCGTACGCTACTGTTACCATATGTAAACTTATCCGGATATTAAGTTTTGAGAAAATTTAGGTAAATATGGCTTCGCGCCGCATGTTTCTGTAGATCTATTTACACAGCTTGGATGTCCACAAACTGTAAGTTTTTTATTGTTGCATTGTATAATCAATTCAGGTATTGTAAACTCTAAAATGTGCTTTGAGTATTTCATTTCTTGACATTTATTTATAGGTAATAAGAGTTGTTTATTTGCTGCAAGAGGTCAGCTTATTCTAAAACATGGATTGGTACACATGATATATTTTCCAAGATGTTACGATAATTACAATAGCACCTACTATTTTGTCTCTAATATTTTATGGAAATTACTTCTTCTATTTGTGCTTCCTAGTGTATGTGAATTTACATTTTTCACTTTTGTATTTAAGTCCTGTCCAAAATTTTCATTTTTTGGCATAACCTAAAACGTGGATTATGCTTTTTGTGTCAATTGTATATTTTTATTGAACCTTATAAGACTGTGCTTGTTCTTTACACATTGTATTTTACTTTGTAGTTTCTTACCCTCTCCGAGGAGGCAATAAAACATCCTAACATAAAAGCAGCTTAGGCTTGTTACTGCACAGTAAGAAAAGTTTGATTCTACACACCCACTCGCCATGAATAGTCTACCAGACAGACAACTACGGAGGACAAGAACACTCACTCAGGAAGCCCTCATGTTATTTGAAGAGAAAGTTGACCACTATAACAACAGGCTTAGAAGTGTGAGAAGAGACATTGATTCAGTTATCTTAGAATTTGAAGATGCCAAACCGACTGATAAGAACATTGTTCGAGCAATGAGAGCAGATCTTATTCAGTTTATGCAACAGTATAACAATGTGTCGAAAGAGTATGAATCATACCTGAAAGGAACTAGAACTCTAGCCAGTATAAGGGAAGAAGCCTCACACAGATTGGTTGCCTCAACAGTACGCGCCAAAGTGGATCACGTGCAGAAGGAGATGGAAAAAGTGCTAGCAGACAGCAAACCACCGTTTGGTAGCTACAGACAACACTTCGCAGACAAACAGCCATCCATCGCCAGTTCAAGATGCAGTCCTCGACCACAGAGCAAGAGCCAATCTGGTTCGGACCTGACTACATTTATACAGCGGCAAGCGGCCAAGGCGGACCTGCAAGCAGCAAAACTAGAACTTCAATTTGCGAAAGAGGAGGCTCAGCTTTTAAAGAGACAAGTGGCCTTGGAGGCTGAACGCAAGGTCTTGGATAGTCGGAAAGCGGTGGCACTCGCACAGTCAACCTTTGCGGCGTTTGACGAAATACTAGGCGAGAATAAGGACAAAGAGACTGAGTATGAAGATCCCATGGAGAGGACGAGGGAATATATACAGAACTTGACAAACAGTCCAGATGATCGAGATGATGTGTCGTCAGTGTTAGACTTCAGTGAGGCCCGAGATTTGAAACACTCAACGCCACAGAAGAGTCAGGGTGTACTGTCAACCCTCAACCCCCAGGCACCATCATTCTCTCCCCTTGCTTTCGATCATCTCGCAAAGTATATAGCCAAGAGGGATCTAATATCTGCTAGATTTACAATGTATGATGACAATCCTACACATTATATAGCTTGGAAGGCTACCTTCCAAAATATAGTGACCGAGGTTGGGGCAACACATTTAGAACATCTCGATTTGCTCGTTAGATGGCTCGGACCAGATTCCAAGAAGCAAGTACAGAGTATCCGTTCAGCAAACGTTCAGGATCCAGAGAAAGCACTACAACTAGCTTGGGAACGCTTAGCCCGTAGATTCGGAAGTCCTGAGATTATCGAAGACACGATTCAACGCAGGATCAAGAACTTTCCAAACTTATTGAACCACCAGAGGAAGGAATTCTTTGACCTCGCAGACCTTACCAGTGAGATAGAGGAAGTTAAGAACAATGATAAGAACTCTATTACCTTTGCATATTTTGACTCTTCTTATGGTGTGAATAAACTTGTAGCCAAATTACCATTCAATCTACAGGAGAAATGGACTCACAAAGCAAGTGAATACAAACTACACCACGATGGCCAGTATCCGCCGTTCACTTACTTTTCTTCTTTCATACAAAATGTCGCAAAGATGAAAAACGATCCAGGATTTGTTTATGATTCTGAAAACAGAAGTCAAAATCAAAGGAATGTTGGACAGCCTGCGATCCCTAGAAGCAACCCTCCTGCAAGAAATGTGTCGACTAAAAAGACTGAAGTGGCCGTTGACCAAACTTCTATGACAATCTGTCCACTGCATGGTAAAAACCACTCATTAAACCAGTGCAGAACCTTCCGCCTGAAACCTCTAGAAGAAAGGATAAAATTCATTCGAGACAAACACATATGTTTAAAATGTGCGGATCAACGACACCTGGCAAAAAATTGCAAGTCAAACGCACCATGTGGCATATGCAAATCTAATGTACACCCCACGGCGCTTCACCCTGACCAAGACGATAAGGAAGTGACAGCCGCCTGCACACAAGTCTGTGGAACAACTCGTCCTACGAACAGATCATGTGCTAAGATACTCCAAGTGCGTGTATACCGAGAAGATAGACCAAGAGTAGCTCGGACTGTGTATGCCATCATAGATGATCAAAGTAACCAGACCCTGGCAACGTCTACTCTCTTTGACTTCTTCCAGGAAAAAGGTCCGGAACACAATTATATCTTAGTGTCCTGTGCTGGGAGAAAACCTACCTTTGGCAGACAGGGAATTGGCTATGTTGTGCAGTCTTTAGACCAGACGTGCTCGTTGAAACTGCCTACCTTTCTAGAATGTGACGACATTCCCAACAACAGGGACGAAATCCCTTCTCCCCAGGTGGCACGACAGTTTGCCCACTTACGAGACATATCCAAGCTCATTCCACGAGTGGACGATAAAGTAGAAATAGAAATGTTAATTGGGAGAGACCTCCTTGAAGTACATCACGTTAAGGAGCAGAAAGTAGCTGACCCGAGTCTGCCGTTTGCACAGAAACTTCCATTGGGATGGGTGGTCCTTGGGAAAGTGTGCTTAGGAGACACACATGTTTCGGAAGTAGTCAACACAAACAAGACTTTCATTCTTCCAAGTGGACGACCCACCTTCTTTGAACCATGTGGGAACAAGCTTTCGGTGATCGACGATGTGTTCCAGAAAACTGAAAACTGACATCTGTAGAAGACCAGAAATTTGTGGACATTATGAACTCTTCTTTCAAAAGAGGCAAAGATGGATGCTGGATAGCACCACTACCTTTCAAAGAGGATAGACCAACTCTACCCAATAATAAACCACAAGCTCAGAAACGAGCTCTGATGCTAGACAGCAGCTTCAGACGCAATCCTACAAAGCTCCTTCACGCTCAAGATTTCATGCAGAAAATCTTTGACCAGGGACACGCTGAGATAGCACCTAAGATTGCAGTAGATTCTGAATGCTGGTACTTACCATTGTTCGGGGTTTATCACCCCAGAAAACCTGAGTCTATACGTATGGTCTTCGACTCCTCTGCCGAATACGAAGGACTATCTTTGAATGAAGTATTGATCAAAGGGCCAGATTTGACCAACAACCTCTTGGGCGTTCTACTTCGCTTTCGGCGGAACAAGATTGCTATCACTGGAGACATAGAGCAAATGTTCTACAATTTCAAGGTTACAGAGAAAGACCGTGACTTCTTGAGATTTCTTTGGCATCCCCGAGGTGACCTAAATGCACCATTACAAGAATACAGAATGACTGTGCACGTTTTTGGGAAACGCCGTCTCCTGCAATCGCCACATATGGGTTACGCAAAGCAGTACAGTATGCAGATAAGGATGTGCAAGAGTTTGTTAACAAGAACTTTTATGTGGACGATGGGTTAACTAGTTGCACAAGTGAGACAGAAGCAGTCAGCCTAATGAGAAGAACACAGAAGGCACTAATGGAAGGAGGACATCTTCGATTGCACAAATTTGCGTCCAACTCAAAGTCTGTTCTCCAGCAGTTTGACAGTGAAGACCTAGCCAAAGATCTCAAACACCTTGATTTTGGATGTGACACGCTTCCAGTTCAGCGAAGCTTAGGAGTCTCCTGGGATGTAGAAACAGACTCTATAATTTTTCAAGTCTCGGGAAACCTGAAACCCTTTACTCGCAGAGGGGTTCTATCGACAATCAACAGTCTTTTTGACCCTATAGGTTTCACAGCTCCCGTCACCTTGCAAGGGAAACTGTTACTGAGGGAGATTATGTCAACAGTGAAACAGGTGGGCTGGGATGAGCCACTTCAACAAATTTCCTTATCCGATGGGAAAATTGGGTTAACTCACTACAGCATTTAGGGGATGTTAAGATTCCACGCATGTATGGCAGATCCTCCCTGACCTCAGCAGATAGCTTCAGTGTCCATATTTTCTGTGACGCCTCCAAAGAAGCCATCGCAGCAGTAGCTTACCTCAAATTGGTCTCAGGGAATACGACCGATGTTGGTTTTTTGGTTGGAAAAGCGAGTGGCGCCGACGCACGGACATACTATTCCCCGGTTGGAGTTATGTGCTGGAGTTCTTGCTGTTGAGCTGGCAGAAACTGTAGCAGAAGAATTGGTCATAGATAAAAGTGCAATTCGCTTTTATTCTGACAGTAAAGTAGTTCTAGGGTATATCTCAGCCGAGACGAGACGATTCCATGTTTATGTCTGCAATCGTGTCAGTCGTATTAGGTCATTCTGCAGTCCGAAACAATGGGCCTATATCGCCACTGAATCCAATCCAGCTGACATTGCTACAAGAAGTTTCAAAACTGAAGAACTCCCTCAGAGTGAATGGCTCAGAGGACCTGAATTTCTGTTTGACAAATTTGTTAGTGTGGAAGAGAGCTTCCCCCTACTTAATGCTGAGGATGACATTGAAATTAAGAAAGAAGTTGTGAGCATGAAAACTGAAACAGAGACTATTACAAATTCTACGCAAAAGATTTCAACCTGGAGTGAAAGATGCGCTAGATTCTCATCTTGGTATAGTCTGAGTAGAGCAATTGCCAATTTGAAGAAGCTTGCTATGAACTTTATGCGAGATAAACAGAAATCTCACTTACCTGTTGAGCTGTTTGTCATAAGGCAGATCCAACATGAAGTGTATGCAGAAGAAGTACAAGCAATTACAAAGGGGAGTAAACCACCTAGCCACAGCACTCTTCTACCACTGAACCCAGTTTTGGATCCTGACGAAATCCTTAGAGTTGGGGGTCGATTGAAACACAGTCCAACTGGCAGGTTCACAACTAAGGACCAGTGCCCCATCATAATTCCGAAGGGTCATCACATTGCGGTGCTTCTTATACGTCACTTTCACACGAGCATACACCACCAAGGACGTCATCTCACTGAGTCGGCTATCCGTGCAGCTGGCTTTTGGATTATTGGTGGGAAACGTCAAATCATTACTATCATCAGGAGTTGTGTCATCTGCAAGAAACTTCGAGGCAGCTTCGGCTGGACAAAAATGGCAGATCTTCCTAGAGACCGACTAGAGACTGGCCCCCCATTCACCTTTGTGGGGATTGATGTATTTGGACCGTGGCCTATTGTATTCAGAAAAACAAGAGGCATGCAGAGAAACCAAAACCGCTGGGCCATATTGTTCACGTGCATGGTGTCTCGAGCTGTCCATGTGGAGCTTATTGAAGAATTGAGCAGTGCGTCCTTCATCAATGCCCTGCGCAGGTTCACAGCTATTTGGGGACCAGTACAGCAATTCAGGTCAGACAGGGGAACCAATTTTGTGGGAGGAACCAAAGAACTGAACTTAGACGTTCACTTTATTGAGAAGGGTCCAGTAGCTAACTATTTGCAAAGCAATAAGATTTCCTGGATCTTCAACCCTCCCCACGCATCACATTTCGGTGGTGTGTGGGAAAGAATGATTGGTTGCTGTAGGAGAATTTTGGACGCCTTATTATTGGAGAACAAACATGATTTGACACACGAAGTACTCTCAACTTTCATGCTTGAAGTATGTGCCATTCTAAATGCTCGACCACTTGTACCCGTTTCGTCTGATCCGGAAAAACCTGAAGTACTAGCACCTTGTCAGCTGCTTACACAAAAGAATCCTCTACATGACTTTGCACTGCCAAACTGTAACTTGAAGGATGCTATCAAGAGCCAGTGGAAGAGGGTGCAGTACATGGCGGACATCTTCTGGACACGATGGCATTCGGAATATTTACACCTACTCCAAACGCGACCAAAGTGGGAATCGACCGGAATCCATTTCAACAAGGGTGACATAGTTCTTCTTAAAGACAATGAAGCACACAGAAATCATTGGCCAATGGCAGTGGTTGAAGATGCGTACGAGAGCGAGGACGGTTTGGTCCGTAAAGTCAAAGTCAGAGTTGCTCAAGGAGACGAGCGTACAACCTATGTCCGTCCAATCACTCAACTCGTAAAGTTGTTGGAGGTTGAATGAATATGTACATGTGACATGTGATGTGAAATTGGCTTTGTGTACTTATTTGCTTACCAAATGTCTATTGTGGTATTCATACGTGTGCAAATTTACCATTCATGATGTTACTTAGATTTTTGACAAATGTGTTGTGTCAAATTTTGCCTACTTATTGTTTTGTGCAAATTTTTCATTATTATGATTTAATCTATAGATATGGTGATTTCTGGTAGAAATCAAAAGGGGAGTGTCATGTTATGCTCGTCTATGCTGTGTTCGATATTTCCAATTTTATCCGTACGCTACTGTTACCATATGTAAACTTATCCGGATATTAAGTTTTGAGAAAATTTAGGTAAATATGGCTTCGCGCCGCATGTTTCTGTAGATCTATTAACACGGCTTGGATGTCCACAAACTGTAAGTTTTTTATTGTTGCATTGTATAATCAATTCAGGTATTGTAAACTCTAAAATGTGCTTTGAGTATTTCATTTCTTGACATTTATTTATAGGTAATAAGAGTTGTTTATTTGCTGCAAGAGGTCAGCTTATTCTAAAACATGGATTGGTACACATGATATATTTTCCAAGATGTTACGATAATTACAATAGCACCTACTATTTTGTCTCTAATATTTTATGGAAATTACTTCTTCTATTTGTGCTTCCTAGTGTATGTGAATTTTCATTTTTCACTTTTGTATTTAAGTCCTGTCCAAAATTTTCATTTTTTGGCATAACCTATAACGTGGATTATGCTTTTTGTGTCAATTGTATATTTTTATTGAACCTTATAAGACTGTGCTTGTTCTTTACACATTGTATTTTACTTTGTAGTTTCTTACCCTCTCCGAGGAGGCAATAAAACATCCTAACATAAAGGCAGCTTAGGCTTGTTACAGTACCCGCATCGTTATTCTTTACAATTCTATCGTGTCCTATCGTGCGTTTATCCTATCGTATCGTGCGTGTACCCTATCGTATCCTATCGTATCGTGTTTTCCGTTTATCAGGTTTTGCGTTTTCTATCGTGTTTTCCGTTTATCGGGTTTTGCGTTTATCGTGAAGATCGTTTATCAGGTTCTATCGTGTATCGTGTTTTGCGTTTATCGTGTGCATTCGGAAACCCTCGATTTTTATCTTTACCTTGAAAAGAAACACCCGAGATATCTCGAGTTCATCTTTCGTTTTGTTAATTTATTTAGGATTAATCTAACTGTTGAACAAAAAGAGAAATTAATACTTTAACTCTTGTATATTTTTTAAAATAAATAAATAAATAAATAAATGAACGTCAAGTACCGTCACCAAGCAGAGAGCATAAATCGAATGTCAAATTCTATTTTTGTACATGAAATAATCGATCTACTATTTGAATCATTCGTTATTTTTGTTTTAATTTGTCGATATGTAAGAAATATTTTTGTCAAAGATAGAAATATTATAATCCCTTTACACAGTCAGAGTCACAAAAGCGATACCTTTATTAACTTTGTTTTGATGATTATAGTGCATAAAATATTAGGTGTGTGTGCAAAAAATAAATTATGAATAAAAAAAAATATCAGTATCTTTATTAACGCTATCCTTTTACCAATAACGGAAACATAAATTTTGTCTATGCACGCAAGTTTTGTTGCTCCTTTGTATTATTATTTTTCTCTAAAAAGTATATATTATAATATAGATGTTTGCCATTCATATTTAACTACTGCATTTAGAAGATGTAAAAAATAAATAAATAAATATACAAAACCACACAAATTTTTATATTATATAAAATATTTACATATTATACATCTTACCTACTTCGGCGCGGAGATGAAGTAATATATACCGTAACTTAGTGACAGGTGGAAGCGATCCCGTGACAAGAGAACTGACACCTACCTGCCTAATCCGTACACTGTCTTCTTGTCAAGTCAAGACCCCCCCCCCCCTTTCCCCTACATGACCGGCCGTGTGTATTCAACGTAGACATACCTGAACTCTAGCTCTCACCTGGTGTCAAGTATTTATCTTGAACCCTACTGAGTTTCAATGAAATGTATCTACTTATTTTCTGGATATTGTTCATAATATTTATGAACAACACTTAATTAACAATTAAAGATTTTATACTAAGAAAATTGGTAAATGTACACTTCCGTTACAGATTAAAAATTGAATAATTGAATCAAATAAAATATAGGCGATGTTTGTCCTCCAAACTCCGTTGATTTAGTTCATTTGTATATTTATATGTAATTTTTATAGGTTTACAGTCATAAACATGATTGGTGTGATCAAATAAAAAAAAATGCGCTTGCAGTACTTCTGGATCTTAGGGTTTTCTGTGTTGTCTGTCATTGTTACATGTAAAGGCGTCTCAAAGATACATGAAAAAAAAAAAATCGCCCGCTTCTGCGGTGATACACAAGACTGGTGAATACCTTGTATTTAATTTTATTCGTGTTTATCGATTGCATATAATACGTGACTATATTGAAGAAGTCAATATATATTTTTATTTTATTTTATTTTTATTTTTATTTATTTATTTTTTTTGGCTTTTTGAATCGTTTTTTTTTTTTTGGGGGGGGGGAGGGGGGTTATGGACCCCCCTTCCCCGCTGACTGTGCCTCAAATGGGGTTACGACTTTCATAATTTACAAAGTTTTGTCTAATTTTGCCGATGTCGTCCTATATAAGATAAGTTTTGTGACAATTATTACAAAGTCTAATAGCAATAATTGACAATTATTCAATCCGAAAATCCACTTGTCAAATTGTGGAAATTGATTTATTATTTATTTTTTGTGTGTGTTCTAATATGTTGTAAACAAGTGTACGTAACCATTCAATGTTATTTAATTAATACACAGATTAAGTACACAATAAATATATTCATATACAATGTAAGCTTAGTTTACACGTATCTATAGTAGATACAAATTCTGTTATTGTAAATGCTTATACATGTAACACAAGCACGCTAAGAAAGCAGTATCATTTCTTTGGGGGCGGCCGGGGGGAGGGGGGTGGGGTCTAAAAAAGAAATGTTTTGAAAAGCAAACCAAAATGGCTAAAGACATTATTATCGTCGATGGGCAATATTATATAAGCATTATATTACTACTGTATACTACACATGCTGGTACACTGTAACATTTTTTTTTTATTCATACGACTGCATGCTCCCTTCTAGCTTAATCTTACAGGCCTATAAAAATACCAAAATAAATACAAAAGAATGGAAATGTGATATTTTTTTCGGATAATAGATGATGACAGATCTAGTGACGTTTACTAATTTTATTAAATTCGATTTTTTTCGGAGGTCTCCTTCCTCATATATACATATACAATGTATGTACTTGGAATGTACTTGGAATATGTAAATAATTTCTATGTACACGGGATATGTGTGACATATATATTTATATATAGGAGAGATTAATTATTCACAGTCCAGTGCACGCTCTGTCTCAATGCAACTAGGAATTTCAGCGATTTTAAAACGAAAAAAAAAATTAATTTATATAAAATATAAATCAAATTCGTAAAAAACTTGAAGGAGAAAGCATTAACCTTAAAATAATTAAAATAATAATTTTTCAATCTCCCCCCCCCCCCCAAATTATGACTAGTATTTTTTTTTTGTAAGATTTGAATTATTAAATACAAACTATTAAAGGCGATTTTGGATACTTTGCAGACTTCTAGCAAAAGGTATTGAATCCAAATATTTCATTTTTTTAACATGTTTTTCCGTAAAAATAATCAATGTTTGTTATGAATTTCATAAGGTTTTATTTGTTAAAATAATGAATATATTTATAGCGTTTCGTGAATTTATTGCACTTGGGTGTAAAGCTTCGCTTGTCTACGGACTCAAAATTCAAATTTAACGATTCGAAGGAATTTCGACATTTGTATGATTACACAAAACATCGCCTAATTTCCATCATAGAGTGGAATTATTCTTAATATAATTAGAGTTTGAATTTGATGACGATCAATTTTATTGACAAAAACACCATATCTTTTACAAAGCATAATTTCTTCAAATGTTTTATCATGATAAATTTAAAATGTTTTATCATTTCGATTTGCGGCTTTGTAAGTAATTAAAATTATCATACTATAGTATATCAAAAAGAAAACTTTTCGTCTTGTCAAAAAACGTTCCGCATTTTGAAACAATCCTATCAGGTTTTGCGTTTATCCTATCGTGAAGATCGTTTATCAGGTCTATCGTGTTTTGCGTTTATCGTATTTTGCGTTTACCGTGTTTTGCGTTTATCGTGTTTTGCGTTTATCCTATCGTGCGTGTATCCTGTCCTATCGTGCATGTATCCTATCGTATCGTGCGTGTATCCTATCGTATCGTGTATCCTGTAAAGAATAACGATGCGGGTACTGTACTGCACAGTTAAGTTAAGAATAGGGCCAATTGTACAAAGACGGGATATAGTGGTTGGGGAGATTGCAGACTCCTTATTACTTGGCCTTGATTTTTTGAAAGCACACAACAGCATTATCAATATGCAAAACTTGACTCTTACATTAGATGAAACATCAGTGCCAATCACTAAGATCAAAACAGAGGGTTCTAAGAATGATGTTCAAATGTACAGAATTTCTGTACAGAAAAGAACTGTCATCCCACCTCAAACAGTTCAAATTACACCATTAAATGTTGACAAATCATTCAAAGGTTCACTTTGTATTGAAACAGAAAAAAACTTTTCAAAGGGTATGCCTCCCAATTCTGTGATAAATTCAGAAGAAGCAAGAATTCCCTTTAGAAATCCAACAGACAGATTTGTCACTTTAAAAAAGGGTCAAAATATAGGTTTTGGAATGGAAATAGATGAAGTAGTTGATATGGAAGATGACGAACAAATATCTGTCAATAAAATTGACATAGGTCACTCCATTATTACCCATACTTCAGAAAATTTAAGATCTCAGTTACCACCTCACTTACAAGACCTATATGATAGATCAATTACTAACCTAAATAAGAAAGACCAT